ACCACCCCTATACCTGTTGACGGAACCAACTATACGATTCCATTCTGTTTAGATAACTACCCTGGACCCAATCGAAACCATAGTTTCGTTCTGAGTCCGAGTCGAATTAAACCATTTCATACATAATCGTCCAATCAAATTGCACCTATGAGCGCCAGAAAATCTGTGGGAAGTTACTGATAAGATAATCATGATGGTGACGTCACAACCGGAAATGAAGCTGAGGTAGCGAAATAATCCTGGGTAGTAGTATTTATACCAATAGAATAAAGATTCAACAGGGCAGTGTGTTTCGAAAATCTGAAACATGACAATGAAGCAGACTGAACCGAAGAACAACATTGGTATACACTGCCGGGCAAAAGAAAGTGAACACTTGAAAACTGGATTTGACCAAACAATTACAAACGTTATCAAAACGTTACAATAACCGAAACACTGCAAACAGGTCCAAAACTCAACTATAATACCAGTATCAAATACATCACCGTCGACTAACCATGTCGTTTTAGCTTCCATCAAACATGAGTATAAACTTTCTTTTCAATTTGGTAAAGACGAGGCAGTAAGTGGACTCACATCTTCCCGAGGCAAGGGAGTTAACTGACTATAAAGTCCAGTTTCCAACCTTGCCGAACTAGGCTGGTATTATGGAGTTACATTTTTGCTGGACTAACGAGTCTATGCATAGTCCAATCAGAACGCGCAACGAAATCGAAATCCGGTTCGTAAACTGTCGTGCAGATTTCGATCGATGGCAGGATTTGCAAAGCATATGCACCACCAAATCGTTGTCAGCAGATATTTTCCAAACCTTTTCAAGGTGCTCGCGTGATTTGATGCACTTCGCGATGTGAGACCCGTTTTATCACAATATAGATTATCGATCAGATCGTCTTGACGGGGCGCCGCCATTTTGTTTGAAACAAATGCAAATTATGGAATCTGATTGGTCCATAGGAGAGGCTTAGAAGGGACATAACTCGTAATAACCACTTGTGGCGCTACGATCGAGCCCAGGAATTCCAGCCAAGTTCGGCAAGGGTGGCAACTGGACTTTTATATTCAGTTAAAAGGACCTGATCTAAAGCAATTCACCGGGACTGGTTGTTGCCTTTGTTATTGTTTTTCCCCCTGAGTACCCGGATGATACGCAACGCAAATGAGCGTGTCAAGAGACTGGGCTACAGTCTGCAAGGACAGCTAGATAAACTTGGAGGCAATATTTGTTTTACTCATTTTTGGACACTGATTGGTTAACCGTGATCTATAAAGATTTAAACAAAGGGCGCATGTTAATTAATTTCTTCAGCCTAAACAAACGGACAAAAAGAACGGCGGAGCTCATCGGATGTCGTCATTTGGAAATACCCCTGATTGTTATAGTTTAATTATAAAAAAACGTATGCATGCAGTGAAAACATTTTCGGATTGCGTCGATAATACAATTACTACTCCCTTGTTGTCATCCACGTTTTCTGGTATAACCCTACACTTGTGTATTTGTCGTCATTCACTTGATGCTCAGTTGATGAATTTATTACGATATATATATTTTTAAAAATATTTGATTGTTACAGAGACACGTGACATCGAATAAGTTTCTTTGTACAGCTGCAGACGTGTGGGATATTGTTCCTTTGTGTGGATATTCACGGATACATTCCTCAAACAAGGAAGCTGCCTAAAATTATACACAGAAAGTTGGTAGGTTGTAATTATGATATTTGCATTTTGTTTTCCTTCATTAGCTATGGACAGATTCATTCTTGTTCCTCTACGTCTTGGTTGGGGAATTCTTCGATGCTCGATAGACGTTGTTTTCACAAGTCTTTTCCTTTGTAAGCGTGTATATATTACAGTCAATTTGTGATTCTCTCAGGCAATTTATAAAATGTGTAAATATTTAAGTCATTTTGACTGAAAAATCTGTCCATTTCTTTAACAGATTGAATAAAATTAAGACGATCAAAAGGGCCTAAAATATCACAATAGATTATTATGTATGATTAGAAGCCAAACAATATAGAAATGTACTTTATATCGTAACATTTTCAGTCTCTTGGTGATTATATTAAACATAAAAAAGTTTGGAATTCGTTGTCATAATAATACAGATGGACATAGTTTTCAGTCAATTTGTAAAATAACTGAATATTTAGGCGTTTAATAAATTTCCTAAGTGAAACTTTTGCACATTTTGACTGTAAAAATATAAACACGATAAAATAAACAATGCTCAGGAGAAATATTTACTTTGTGTTGCAAGTCATAATAGTGTAAACGAAAATCGCACAATTACCAAGCAAGTGACTTATCAAAACTTCGTCACCACTACCGATGCTACCCACAAAGATACCTACATTTCCTTATTATTTCCAAAACTGTATTTCATTTTGTTGATCAATGTGACCATACGCCCTATAACTATCAATAAAAGTGACAAATGCGCTTACGAATTGCGCAGCACAGGTCGTGAACTAGTCTAGGTTTCTGCTATATCATCCGGGTACTCACGGGAAAAACAATAACAAAGGTAACAACCAGTCCCGGGGAATTGCTTTAGATCAGTGCCCCTTTAATTCTCTTGCCTCGGGAAGATGGTGGACTCTTGGTTGCGTTAAACATTCTATATAATCTAATATGTCAACAAAGCCACCCTGTTTACGAAGTACGTGGTGATTGGTCGGTGCCAGTGCTCGAAGCAAGGATTTGAAACGAAAGTATAAAAAGACTTAAACTGTTAACTCGGTTATACCCTTTCATTCGTCAATTGACGTCATCCTGGGTCACATATATGTATCGATAAATATTTACTTTCATAATTCCGGCACTTCCTACCCATTTAACAATTCATCCTTGTTCCTTAAAAAGAAGTCTTTCTTTATCTGAAAAAAGTAAATGCTATAATTCATGTTGGTAGATAAACGTACTTTATACATATCCGTAGATATACACACAGCTTTGCGTTGGACAACAATCTTGTTTCGCCGACTCAACAGACAGAACATTTCCTTCTTGTAACCAGTGGCTGAGACGGTCTCACACCCGTAGAAGGATACCTTTGTTAACAAAACAGTGAAAAACAAATTTCAGATCGACATGGCGAGATTCTTTCAGAAATTAGTTGCTTATAAAGTTCTTATCAGCGCAAAAAACGCAAAAGCTTGACTTTTTTTTAAGGCGTCTATCGTTAATCTTATGTTCGGCTTCATGCAGAAGTAATTGGCAGATAAAGCACAGCCCTTGACGCAGAGATGGAGATATGGAATATACATCAAGGTCTTGAAACAACCTGTATCACATGAACGCAGAAGTGTTTGGTTGGAGCTTGCCAAGGTCACCTTGTATCTGACGTAAGTGCGATAAGAATTCACTGATAAAAACATAAAACCTTTAAAAATCAAAACGAAATCCCTTTTTTAACTATTAAGCCATTGATTTTATATAGTAATTGAACTGAAATCACATTTTCTTGTTAATTTTACATTGTTTAAGAATAAGAATGTGTATACTTAATGATGTGATGAATATGAACCTGGTTTTGAGTATCGTATCTGTTTTTGGGGGTGACTTTGTTTAACGCCGCTTGGACATTATTTCAGATATAAACGACGTGTTGATTAAATGCCGGAGAAAATCCCAGTTTGACCCAGATTGTAACCATGACTACTTTTATGAAACAGCGCGGCCAGGTCAGTTAACAATTGGACGATTCTTGTGTTCTAACCCACGCCCAGCATATCCATGCATTGTGAGGAAGGTAATTCTGTAGGGCGTATTGCGGCGCTTTTTAAAGCATGTGACCACCGCTCCTCGTGTTTAAATTGTTTTGTCGCTAACCTATTGGAATATTGTGATTTTTGTTTTATTTTATTCACTCTTGCTTTGTATTACAAAATGTCAATATTTTTTATGTAGACTGTCGGGCTAGAACGTACACACCTGAAACTTGGATTTGACAAAAAACATTACAAACGTTATCAAACTAGGCTGAAACCAGTCGCCGAAACACTGCAAACTATGATGCCCGTATCAAATACATAAATAACGAAAAACCATTACTTGTTTGTTTTCATTTTAAACCACCATAACACATGGGTGTACTCTTTCCTTTGCGCGGTAGTTTAGTGAAAACGTTGGTCACGACATGTTGCACTATTCACAATGAACATCATATTCATGTGACAAGCAGATAATTTTGATTCTTTTCATTAACCCGTTTTTATCTTTCAACATATAATTAATGTGATAAATTGATTCTTAAGAGTTAAACCGTCAAAACTCGATATACCTATGTCTAAGCATAACAGATATATACAGATTGCTCTCAGTCGTCAAATAATACACTTACTAAATTTGAAAATACACCGAGCATGTGGAGTGAGTGAATGAGTTTGGGTTTAAGGCCGCTTTGAACAGTATTCCAGTATATCCCGGCGTCTATTCCTCTAAGGGAGAGTAGAAGATTGAAATTCATTAAAAAGCATACATGTGTTCAAGGGTACACATTTACATAGAGCTTTGAATTAAACAACAATTATATTGTATAGTTCTGGAAATAATACAATCTTTTGATGATAGTCAGCAAATAACATACATGTATTTGTAGCATGTGGAGCCTGTTAAGGGTGATCCTAGTTTTAGTAGCATTCTTCACACAGCTGCGTCACTGACTCGATAGTGGATAGGTGATGCAGCATGCAAAATAAACTCATTCAAGTGATTTCTCTGACTTAAACCATGTTATGATTGGTGTCTAATTTCTGTTTAGCTTTGCATATAGACCTATAGTTGCGTGAGTATTTCTTGTTTAAAATGCAGGAATAGCTATTGTATTCCTGGTTCAGACCTGCAAGAACAATGGCCTGACGTCAACATTGTACCCTTGTTGGGAGTTGAACTCGGGTCTTCGGCGTGACGAGCGAACACTTTAAGCACTCGGCTACCCCACCGCCCCTAACATTTAAAGAACATAGTAAAGTACATAATGTACCTACCTGCCTCCAGCGTCGGCGAAGTTGCTCGGGGGGTCCCGGGGGACACATGGTCCTGACACAATATCTCCAAATTCTCAATCCTCCGAATAACGTCTCCCATCATCAGCCCTTGCACGACCCCATCGGGCCTGAATTCATCACCCCCCTCCCCCCTCGGCCCACCCCCGACATCGGCGAACCCTTCAAGCCCCTCCAAGTCCTTGGGAAGGGACAGATCGGGTAAGTCATCAAAGTTATAGTGGGGATAATCCTGTCCCCTTCCATCAGCGAGAAGCGACAGCAGCAGCAACAACACCTGCACACCCACCCACGACCGGGACATCATGCTGATGGATCTGCCGCTATCACAGATATATTTAGACCAGCGATCAGCCTATCTTTGAGTTCATTAATACGTCGTCGGCTCCATGACTCCACTATGGAACCCACGAGCTTCGCTTTTTGCCGTACTGCCAACAATCTGCAAGGTGGGATTCTCGGTATGAAAATATCCAACAGCAAGGCATGACGATCTTCGGTTTATTTTCCCGCTGGTATTTCAAGTAATTCACCAAGTACTACCGACATCTTCAGCTGGTTTATTTTCTTGTATATCTGGCGCTTTTTATCTTGTTGGATACGCGAGTCCGTTAATTCACATCCGTCGTAATCTTTCTCCAAGCGTAAAAGAGAAGGCTTTGGAAGGAGAGGAAAGAAGATCTAAAAAAAAAATATATCCCTTATCGTGCAATGTCATCGTCTTCTTTATCGCCAGAAAAAACAGCAAGGGGGAAGTCGCCCACTTCTTATCACATCGCAGCTTGAACCCGGGGTTCTATATACTAACCAATTACGTGACAGCCTACAGTAGCTGAGGGTTGTTCTACGGTTCTAGCTCTTAGCTGACGATGTGTCATTACCCAAAACAGGAATTTTATGATAAATCTGTTTTCAATTTGCAGATTCCATGCCTCCAGTTTCGATGTTTTGGTTGGCGTTCTCGTTGTTTTCAATTTTTTTTAAATTTTGCTCCACGCTCGGAGTTAAAGAAGCGTTGACAGATTATATTTCGTTGAAAAAAAGTGAAAATACACGTTTATTTCTAGTTAAGAGACCATTAAGTTTGTTGTGTTGCCATGTTGAAGGATATCAGTTATGTGGGAAGGATGTTATGTTTGTTTATTTTTGTTTAGTGCTTTTTAAAGATGGGTAATTGAATCTCAAATTTGTTAAAATTGTATGAAACGTTGTTTATATATATTTATTGGAAAAGAGGCTTTACATTAAGAAGGAAAAAGGGTATTCCTTTTCAGTTTATTTGGCTGTGTGTTATTGGCTTGGGTCATGAGTGAGTGATCAAGTGCGTGAGTGAGTGAATATTGCTTTACGTCTTGTCTTTTAACTTATGCAGATACCCGCCATAATGAATGATATTCCATGTTAATTAAGATCACTGGTTGTTCTCCTTATATGCTAGCATTAAAGTCGCTATGAGTTCATCAACTAAACACGTGTCTATTTAACATTCTTTCTTTAAACATGGGTTTTGCATGTTGGGTTATATATTTTTACTTTAAACATGGGTTTTGCATGTTGGAATATATATTTCTTTATACATGGGTTTTGCATGTTGGAATATATATATGCAAGATCATATTTGCAGCGATAAAAATTATAAACAAATTCTGCGACGGATATATTTCAAAATGATATATCGCCTTCGCTGTTCTTGTCTAAATATACTGTACTGAAAAATAAACTGCAGATGATTTTATCATTTGCACATTTTTTTTGCACCTAGTGATGTTTATATATACTAGGCACTTAAAGATGCAAGCTTATATATGTGTATATATTCACGAAAGCAATGTTTGTTACTCTAACCAAACCCAGTCTGATTCATTTGCGCAGGCTCGAAATTCGCGACGTCATAGATTTTCTTGTGTACACAAATAATCGACCTCATTTTCGATGTTTAAAACTTGTCTCAGAAAACGTCACGTATATGTCACCCGTTGCAGACCTCCACTCATAAAATTATTTGAAATCTGGCAAAATTATATAACCATGTGCCAAATAAACAAACTTCCTTTTCCATATTAAAACAAACTCGAAAATGAAAACACTCCCGTGGGCCACGTTGTACTCTCATACAAACAGGATAACCACAAATATATTCAACTTAATGCACGCACGCATAAAACACCAACAACATATACGTTGATTAAACGGATTATGTTTCTGCAGGTACACAAAACGCCTGTCTTATAATAGTCTTAACACCTGGTGGGGCACGGGTGGCCCAGTCGTCTAAGGCGCTGCGATTCTCTGTGCAGAGTTGCGTCTACTGGACACGCCAGAAACCTATGATTGTGGGTTCGAATCCCGGTTCACTCCGATTATGTTTCTAGGTTTGTCAGCACCATTGCTCGTGAGTTTGGCTTTCCTCCCACATTAAGCTGACACGCCGTGATATAACTGCAATAATGTTAAAAGTGGCGTTAAACCCAACTCACTCACTCAATCACTTAACCCTGGGGAATCGAACCCAAACGGCCAAATAAAACAATCACTCCCACAACACCACGCCCCTGCAGCCTCTCATTTACTATAAATAGATATATTCAACTTAAAATTGCAAGATAGTTGAACGCCAGACAACCCGTGTGCGTCAGGTAAGATCACTGTAGAGTTTGCAGCAGAGGCTCACGATCAACTAGAGGCGGCATATCCGACTATGAAACATAATATTTATCTTTCATTGTTTGTGAAAATATGATTTCACAGTCACGTTCCACGTGGAAAATATAAATTCGCAAGCAAACTTCACTCACACACGCAAGTAAAAGACACTGAAACAAAACGTATGTCTCAAATAATTGCTGCTACTCAAATAAGTTCGGCTGCATGTAATACTACACTTACATCACCACAGGGAAACACACACACAAAACACACTGTACACACACTGTACACACACACGCACACACAATTGTTAAAGAAGTATTTTGCCAAATGTTAGCTACTGAATCCCTGTGGAATGGCCCGAGCAACCTATGTAGGTTTGTTTGTTGTTTAACACCCCACTCAGCAATATTCCAGCTTTATGACGGCGGTCTGTAAATAATCGAGTCTGGACCAGGCAACCCAGCCAAACCTTCTCAGTGATGTAATAGGTTTGTGATTTCCAAACTTCAAATAAATACAAACATGTTCAACGCATTTTAATTGTAAACGTATAATGCGTCCAAACACCACTGGAAACAAGAGCCGCTTGATAACCAGGAGGTCCATTCGCAGGCTCATGCAGGCAAGGATACATGTTATGGTAGCAGGAACCAAACCTGCTATCTATCATTCACAGGACATTTAACAGGAGTCGAAAATGTTGATGTGGTGTTTAATTCATCTGATGTTGCTAGAGAAACACCAACATACTGAGTAGGCAATGACACGCGCGTACTCGGCGCCCGAGTAATTGTGGACGGCGTGAACTTGTTTTCTTTCTGACCCAGGCGTGTTCATCGACATCCTTTCGGTTTGAAATATATGCACTCAGCAACCATCAAATCGACCTTTGATTTTTCTTCCTGAACGCACTCCGATGCCATTACAGTTGGGACGACCACATTTCAGTAAATATCCGTAACCCCTTTTTAAAAAAGTATGTCTGTTGTGTTTGAATGTAAGGTAGTGGCATTTCATTGAACGACATCTCCCACGAGACATTTGGTATTTTGAATCAAACGCGACCACTGTAAACGAAGTCTATTCGTCCTCATGCCAGATATCTTAACGTGAAAGGCTGGCAAATGTGCTTTCTGAATGCCAGTTGGTATGTTCGTATGTCAACAGTTATATGAACCTACCTGACAACCATGCAAACCGACCCGTGAAGATCCGGGGTAGAATAGGTCTTCAGCAACCCATGCTTGCCGCAAAAGGCGACTATATTTGTCGCAAGAGGCGACTAGCGGGATCGGGTGGTCAGGCTCGCTGACTTGGTTGATGCATGTCATCAATCCCGATTGCGTGGATCGATGCTCATGATGTCAATCACTGGATTGTCTGGACCACTCGATTATTTACAGACCACCGTCATATAGCTGGAATATTACTGAGTGCGGCGTTAAACAACAAACAAAGCATTCAAACCTTTCGTGTAGATTCCTGATCATCAGTGGAACATTACGTTAACCTTGCATAAATACCTTACCGGTATTTAAACATGGATCCAACCAACATTTCACCTTGCTTATATATCATACCATATATGAACACAACCATCAGTATGTGCTAACCCTACACGTTAGTAAAAAGTCAGTTTAAACTATGCATATATTTTAATCCATAATGTTACCATATACATATACCTAACCATGTGTTAACTATGAATATAAACCTAACTATGAGTTAACCATGACTCTTCAACTGCCAGCAGTTCACCATGTATTACTTAAACCATGATATACATTTATATATCACTTAAACCATGCCTATATACCTATCGATGTCCAGACTCGCCCTGATTATGACCTGTGGTTTGTGAGCAGCTACGTGTTTTCTTTCCCAAAGTGGTGAGCGTCTTAGGCCTGTCTCACTTCGGGTTTTCCTCTTACATGAAGCTGACCATCTTCCCGAGGCAAGGGAGTTAACTGACTATAAGCGTCCAGTTTCCACCCTTGACGAACTAGGCTTGAATTTCTGCGCTCAATCCTAGCTCACCAGGGGCTTTTACGAGTGATGTCCCTTCTATGTCCCTTCTATTGACCAATCAGATTCCACCTCTCATATCACTTGCACTTCCTGCAAACAAAATGGAGGCGCCCAGTCAAGACGATCTGACCGATAATCAAGATCTATATCGTATTAAAACGGGTTTTACCTCGTAAAGTGCATCAAATCGCGTCAGCACCTTGTTTAAAAAGATGGAAAGATTTTGAAAATACCTGTACACGCAGAGTTGACGGTACGAATGCTTTGCAAATCCAGCAATCGACCGAAATTTGCAAGGCAGTTTACGAACCGGATGTCGATTTTGATTGGCCTATGCATAGACTCCTTAGTCCAGCCAAAATATAATTCCAGCCTAGTTTGTCAAGGAGGGAAACTGGACTTTTATAGTCAGTTAAGCCCCTTGCCTCGGGAAGATGGAAGCTGACACGCCGTGATGTGAACAAATACTCTTCAAAGCTCATGAGTCCCAACTCACTAATCAATTCCTGGTCACGAACCAACCATTTAACATTAAAAGTGACACTGTCAGTCCAGGTGTAGTTTTTTAACTTATATTATTTAGTCGGAAGTGAGATAATGTAAGTTGCAAGACGACAGCAGTCACCCATGTCTCACACCAGTTTGATGTTCCTCTCCCCTTTGTTACACCCATGTCACAACACATACGCTAAATAGTCTTGACATTTTCTTGATATTCTTGAGGAGGTTTTTCAACTGGAATACGGCTTGTAATGTGTTTCGACAAATTCCACAGTGTTGTGTTTGAGGGAGTGAAATGTTGCTCGGTGTCGGGTGCGCACTGTCACATCGGCGGCGGCGCCCCGGAAGAACACACGACCCCCAATGGCCTCCTATTTCTGAAGGCAGGTCACTGTGACCTCGGTTAATGTTTTTCAGAAACTTACAAAATATTTTTCATGCACTTTCAAACTTCCATACCATTAGTATTAGAGAGATAACGTACACAAACCTTCTTCATATGCAGCCATATATGCCAAATATTCATATGGGTGTATATTGTTGTCTATGTGTAAAATGTGATTCACTTAGGCAATTGTCATAGTTCTAAAATCACTATAATTTATCCGTAATTGTAGTGGTCATATTTCAATAATACGTTTTCTATTTACCAAGCTACGTCACAATTTAGAAAATGCGT